CGTAGCTCCGATCCTTGCTGATGACGGTTTCAGGGGCACCCAGCAACCTCGGGGCCGCCGGCTGCTGCTGTTGCGCACGACCAACCCCCGCCCCCCTCCGGCGCCCCCCCGACCCCCGTGCCCTTTGTGTTTGATATCCAGCGGCGACCAGAGGTCACCGAATTGCAGGCTGTGCCGGACGCGTTCGTGCCGGTGATGAAAATCGAGGTGCGCAGTGGGTTGGGGTGGGGTCTGGATGGTGGCGGGGGGCTCACGTGATTTGGGGCCAGCGGCCAGTGTCACAATAGATGAGAAGCGGATTCAGCAGGCGGCGGGCGGCGGCGGCGGGCGGCGATGGGCTGCGGCCACGCATGGCGGCAGCGGGCGGCGGCGGCGGTCTGCGGCGGACGAGGACGGCGGCGGCGGTAGCGGTCGTGTGCCAGGGAGCGAGAGGAGTCGCCCGGCAAGGCAGCAGTGACTTTTGGGGTGGTGGGGCTAGATCACCAGCTAGCGGCAGCAGCGCCTGGCTGCGCCGGCCGGCAGCAGCAGCAACAGCAGCAGCAGCAGCAGCAGCATCAGGCCAGGCCTCTCGCCGCCCCCGCCGCGAGCGCGGCAGCCGCCGCTCCTCCAGACCCCAAAGCCTTCCTGGGCGATTGAGCGGCGGTGGGGGTTGGCCTGGGTGCACCGAACAGGCGAGCCGGGACCCCGACCCAAGAGAGCACTCAACCCCCCATCACCAATACCAACACCCCGCCCCCAAACCCCCACCCCTCCTGGCAGTTTTCTGGCATCAGCGTTGACCTGCTGTATGCGCGGCTCTACTCCCCGGTGGTGCCCGCTGACCTGGACATCGGCGCGACAGCCACGCTGCGCAACACGGACGAGCAGAGCGTGAGGGCGCTCAACGGCTGCAGGTGGATTTTTGTGTGTGTGTGTGTGTGTGTGTGTGTATGGGGTGCGTGTGGGATGGGGGGGCCAGGGGGGCGAGCGCGGAGAGGAGAGGGCGGGCGGGCCCTCAGCGGCTGCAGGTGCCGTTGCAGGCGGGCAGCCGCGCGGGCG